TATGACCTCGCAATTTTTTTTTTATCAAAGGGGTATTATTTAGCATCTACTATGTGTTTTTCATCGACGTACATTACATATTGCAGTGAAATTTATTACAACCATTTATATTTGATTTGCATCATAAATTAAAATCCTTTTATTCACGCTAGATGGTAGCCAAAGCTATTCAAGTTCCGTCTTACAAAGAAGACAGTTCATCGAGTTCAAGGTCAAGAGAAAACATTTACCATCATTTGAGTGGATTGGAAGACAGGGCGAAGAGTGTTCTCTTGTCTAGCGATTCTCTATCTGAGGATTATATAAATGGAAGTAAGAAAATTGAAGTACGGAGCGGAAGTCCTTCTTTAAAGTCATTCATCATTCAGACAGGAAGTCCTTCTTCGAAATCAAATGGTGAATCAAAAGTATCACCAACCGGAAGTGGCGGAAGTGACAATGGGAAATATTTTGCGTTAGAAAAAGAATATTTGATTTTAAAGTCTGATAATGGGTTTGCTTAACGATAGACAGGAAGTTATGCATTTGTATTCATATCATATCGTAAACAATTTTTTTTTTTTTACAATTTTTCTTGATTTGCTGGGCATATGTAATTATTGTTGGATAATGCTGAAAAGATGTAAATTAACTTAATTTTTATGAACAATTGTAATACTGTGGTTTCATCAATTTTCGTTGGCATCAATTTTCGTGGATTTTGTAAAACAGACGTTTTCGAGGATACGTAATTTCGTGGACAAAAGCATTGCCAATACAGATGAATGTTATATTTCGTATTTCAATGAACATTTGAATTCGTGGATCTGCTCAACAACGAAATCCACGAAAATTGGTGCTCAACGAATATTGATGAAACCACAGTAAATGTATCATAAAAAATAATGAATGGGAAAAAAGATGTATGAAGTATGAAAAAAAATACAGAGATAACGAATATGATTCGAGCTCAGAAGTCCATACAAACAGAACAAATCAGAGCCGAGAGAAATCTAAACTTGAAATCATCTGCAATGGAATCGGGTGCCATGAAAGAGTGAGAAGCCCCTGCCGACGGTCACAACCCCTTTGTGTTCCTTTTCATGATCGGGATAACCCGTCGACAATTCAGTGTGTAAATATTGGACGTAAGATAAGTATAATGTCAGTCAGCGTTTGACTTCATTGATAATTTAAGTTCTTTCTGTAAAGGTCAGTTATCAACTTTAGAACTGTAGAACTTACGAAATGATGACTTTAAACGATACTGTTGAAACAATCTAATTAAAATCAGACTTCTTAGATCCGCGCCGTATACACTCTGCACATATTAGATTGCTGATTAAATTGTTGTTAAATAAACTTGTTTGTCAATAACTACCTTTTAGAAATTGTTCTTACATAGAGCATGCCCTGCTCTTTCGTATCGAATTAATCGAGAGATACAAACCCCGTATGCGGATGACCTTTCATTTCAAGCTCATTGGGATATATTTTGTCGACATACATGTATGAATGGAAATAACTTCTCATGATTTGAACACCCATCAAGAGTTTTCTTCTCAGTATCATATGACTATATTTAAGGTCTGCTAATCACGGGGCGCAATATATACCCAGGGGATTTTCATGGGATTTCCTCGAGATTGTAGGAAGATCTGATGTCCAAAACTAAGTAGTCATTGCCAATCAAAAACTCTAGCAACTGTAAACATGAATTTCAGAGAACATGTGCTTAAGTAAAACAATGAATAATGAAATATGAATGTGAAGGTGAAATGCATGCAGTGTTTTTTGGGTTTTTTTTAATATTCATACTATCATTCTTACAAATAGTTTTGTGTGACACGAACTATTATTCCCAACATAGCGTAGGATAACAGGCAAATTCAAAGGACAATGGTCCCTGCTTTTGTGTATTACAAATTATTAATGTAGCATATGAAGACAAAAGAACAGTAATCAACTCAAGCTCAAACAAACGATTTATACAGACAACATTTTAGCAGAGCAGAAGCATCTGAAACATCAGAGTAAAAGAAAAAAAAAAGTAACAAAATACTCAATTTCTGTTATCATTTCTGTTCATTTTTTTGTATTGTACATGTACCCGTACATTAAATACTCAGTATATGGATATAACGAAAATATTCAATCTCAAAGGCTTCAAACAATACAAATCAGGAGCAGAGCAAACATCAGGGGGTTGAAGAAGTAACTCCCCCTCCTACCGGTCACACCCGCCATGTGCTCTTTGTCATGATCGGGAAATAGCGGTAAAATATGAATTAAGACAATTGAGTGTGTAAATAATAATCCAATACTAACTCAAATTAAAGCACTGTTTTCAAAACATGCACTTGTGGACAGGACACCCACCCCACCCCACGCCCCCGATATTCAACCCCGGAGCTTGTTATACATTTTTTTCACAAATTATATTTATTACACTTATTCATCATGTGAACCATAGGAAAAAATCGTGAAAACCCCAAAATAATTGTTCCACAAATAATGTCTAATGGGTTATTTTTTGTGGAACAATTATTTTGGGGTTTTCACGATTTTATAGGGAAAAATAATGTCTTTCTATTACAGAGTTATTTAGGTTTAATCCTGTAGAAATAAACGCTAAATTGACATATATGTAATATAAATTGATTTTAATAGAGATTTCCTAAAACGATCCATTTCTTGTGATATACTTCCTTTTTAAAAAAATGAATTTTCCTGTATGGAAAGCATGGGAAATGTTCGGTTTTCGCAACAGGAAGAATACTGGTTTTAGACATTTTTAATTAGAATTGAACAAATGGATAAGGGTCTCTCAACAACCAGGATTAAAATGATTTCTATTTTTCATTGTTGATACAATATTGCAAACAATCACGAAAACTGTCAATTTACGATTAATCATAATTTTACATGTATTTAGCAAATGCGTGGCGCATAATTAGTATATTACAACTTTTATTAACTTTACACAAATAAATATGAAATATTTTCCCAAAACTAGTAACAAATATATAAATTGAAACTAATTTACAGTCATTTTAAATTTTCTGGAGTCACAAAGTAAAAGAATCCCTCAAAACATCAGCAAAATTCCAGTGTTTCCTTTGCACTCTAAATGGCCATTCCATGTGGTGACGTCCCATTGGTTCAATGCCTGAAATCGCTCGATTCAGGAAAATGCTCAGGTGTGAATTGGGGTTTTTACCCCGTATCTCCGTTCATTCTACATCGATTTATTTTACCGTAAATCTTTAGCATATAAAAGAATTGCTATCCATTTGCATTACCCTTTAACTTAGTTAATGCACTGAATTCACCTCAATTTACGGGTGATTATCTCATCAGTAGTACAAATATATCTGGATGTACCGAATTCGCGGATATGTCAGTTATTTCCTACTTCAAATTTAAATGCTACGTTATAAAAATTTATACATTTATACTAATATTACGTAAACAACATTTGCGAACACATCAAAATATAGCAAATTTTTTACTTTTTTCTAGGCAGCGCCAGTCATAACATTCAACATTAAGCTAACATGTAATAGTGTATAAAACGTGTGCTATTTCCGAAGCATGAACAGAAAAAATAATACATGTATTAGCATACACTATAAATGATTTATATAAGGTAGTGTGCACACTCATTTTATGAATAGAAAATTTTTTCATCACTTCATAAGACTTTTGCTAAGAACAATGTTTTAATGTTCAATAAATTTTTAAACATGTCAAATGAATCATAACATTCTAAAAGGTTGCGGAATTCATTTCAAATGTGTTTGTATGTTATTTAACGTCCCTCTCGAGAATTTTTCACTCATAAGGAGACGCCACCACTTACTGTTGGCTTCAAATGTGTTATATCCGCAAAAATGACAAAAAGTCCATGAAACATGGAGATAACGAACAGTATTTAAGATCAAAAGTCTATAAAACAATACAAAATGGAAGCAGAGCAAACATGGGTTCAATGAGACAATGAGGATCCCCTTGGGTATCGTATCAACCGAGATATTTAAACTACGTATGCAGGTGATGAAGGTATATTGCTGCATAAGTAAGGGAAGTTGACAAAAGAAAAGTTAATGCCATCACATTTATCATAGAGCTTCGTTGTTATATTCCCATTATTCTCTTTTTTCAAGTAAATTATTCCAATATGAAACAGATGTAACAGACTTTGTAGTTTCTTTCATCTCAAAATATTTTATTTACATATATTCCAAAATGTCTTCTTTTTTTAACTCCATCGTAAAAATACTTTAAAATTTTATAAAATACTTTACTTTGCTCAAACTGAGTATCTTTGGTTGATGTATATATAATACAGTATATATCATATATAAAAATTAACGATTTTGCTAAAACTACCGGTATGCGTTCTTTAAAAGTACCGAGGACACAATTGTTTAGCTTTATGATACCAATTGAAAACTATTAAGATTTTAGGGGTCTAATGTCACTCATCTCATTAGACTCGCGCATGAGCAGCAATGATCTATTTTTGGTAGAAAAGATACCACTCAAATTGCGATAATTATAAGTGTGTAATGCTGACTTTAATGTAGACTGTTGAAAGTCAAGGACTTTAATGTAGACTGTTGAAAGTCAAGATATATTGAATACTCTAAAGAATATCAACCTGATAAAAAACAAATTAAACAGAAAAAATATTAATGTAAACGTTTTTCAAAATAAAAAGATATATAAATTCATTAATGATGTGACGATTCGAATACACACACAAAGTTTATTTTATCAAAATGGAAAATATAGTGTGGACAGGCATTACTGACATTGTTCGGTGGTTATAGAGAATTGGCAAATACTTATATGTTACACACGCAACTAATACACTTGCAAGTTTTTTTTTGACAATCATCCAATCAAATGCAGACTTTATATTTATATTGAGATTTCTATCCACTCCTTCTCCTTCTTGTTCTATTCATAAACGATGACTTTCAAATTTGAAATAGTATTCCTCTGACACGGAAGATGCTTTTTCCTACTTTGATTGACGCATATATTTTCCATAAAATTTAAAAATAAGATGAAGTTTGTTTATCACTCTCCACTTTTAAAAGATGACATATGATTTTTTTCCATTAAAACCAGACACGAGGATGAAAATTCCGGTTCTCTTTTTATGTAAGTATAATTATTATTATTTTATCATCAGATAAAAGAGATTAGAGTGAAATTGTTATTCAAAAACGTCAACATGAAAAGCAAAACGAACCCATGCTACAATGAAGCGCATTGAAGTGGTAAAATTTTCCATTTGGATGAAACGTTCTGAGTCATGTTTTGAACGTCAATTATAACATAATGACACGCCCATTTCTTTTGAAACAAGAAAGAAATATTCGTCGTAATGTTTTAGGACACCCCACTTTCCTCGACAAGCAACATGAGTTTCACTGAAATGAAGATTTTCAAATAGGAAAAAGCTATATTTAGAGTCCTCGCTTCTGTAAAACATGCATTGAAACGAATTTGTACATAATTATGATTTTATCATGTTTATTGGAGTTAGCATAACACATGTACAATGAAGCGCATTGAAGTGGTAAAATTTCCCGTTTGAATGGAACGTTTTGAGCTATCTTTAGAATGTTGATTGTCATACAATGACACGCCCATTTCTTTAGAAAGTAAAAATCGGTCAAATAGTTCATTGGAATACCTGTAGAACAGGTATTCTAAAAATATAATATCCAATCAAATTGACGGCATACATAAACACAGCGTACGCACGTGTTCGACCAATACTTGTGTTATGGAAACTCCAATAAACATGATAAATTCATAATTGTGTTCATAATTCGTTGCAATACGTGTTTTATAGAACCTGGAAATCTCTAAATCTCTCTTATAACTTTAAAAATCTCCATTTCAGTGAAACTCATGTTGCTTTTCGCAAAGAGTGGGGTGTCCTAAAACATTATGACGAATATTTCTTGCTCGTTTCTATAAAAATGGGCGTGTCATTCTGTAATAATTGACGTTCAAAACATGACTCAGAACGTTTCATCCAAACGGAAATTTTACCACTTCAATGCGCTTCATTGTATCAGTCGAACACGTGCTTTCTCGGTGTTTGTGTAGACCATCAATTTGATTGGCTATTATATTTATGGAAAACCTGTTCTACAGGTATTCGGTTGAATCATTTGACCGATTTTTCCTTTCTAAAAGAATAGGCGTGTCTAAAAATCGCTCAAAATGTTCCATCCAAACAGAAAATTTTACCACTTCAATGCGCTTCATTGTAGGACCTTCATTTTATTGATAAGACACCCCTACTAATGTTATTGTGATTTAAATTCAAGACACGTGGTTTAGGTTTATCTATTCAAAGGTTATAGGGTAGAACCGGTTTTATAAATAAAATTGGCAGTAAACATGACATTGCTATAGCCTGTTTCTTTTGAAAACATGTCCTGCTATAAATGTTTCCAGACCTTTCTGAAAGACTTTCATGATTTTCAACAGGAAAGGGTGGCTAAAGGAGGGGGTATTAAAATACAAGATATCTTATACTTTTTGGCGAAAATTAGAGCTCACTAGTGACCGATTCGCTGGTAAAAAATGTGCATAATCATCTACACTGACAAACCTTTGTTTGCCTTATATGGCTATTGTTATAAATGCGCACAGAGGATCTTACCACGAGCAACTGACCAATCGTCGAATGAATGGCAACGTTTACACCAAATACATGTTTACATTTTACTTCGAACACGTAGTTCAGGTCAATCTACGATAATGTTAATGTACTGCAAAATAAATAAAATGTTCTAACGAGCAAAATACAAATAAGATAAGAAGCTATGAAAGATGTTACGGGCGTTTTTAATTTGTTGTTAAATGGAAAAAATGCTTAATAAAATGTAGTTTGCGTATAGTTCAGAACACCAGCGCTTCAAGGGTAAGGAAAACGAGCAGCATCTCATGCATTTAAATGGACAAAACTTTATTTACGTTCGTGATCACGTGTTCGGCCAGGGAATTCACCAGGCAATTGTATTCACTGATAGTACAACAAAGGAATTAATACAGACGAAAATCGCTTTTGGAGTATGACTTTTAGAAACCTAGACTTCCGCCGTTTATTTAACAAATGAATTGTTTGTCATTATGAGCATGAAAATAATAATTTTAAAAAATTAATGCTTTTCATTTACCATAAGGTTTTCCTTTTTTTCAAGCGTAAAATTCCTGTAGTATTCGTAGTGACCCATAATGCAATACTCATTCAGCTGATTGGTCAGTTAAAATCATGATGTTGCCTCATTTGCTAATCTTACGCCAAAAAATATAGACCCGGTTCCCATGCAAAATTATTTATTCAAAAAGAAATTTAATTCATGACTGCAGAAAATCGTATTGTAGAGTATACTTATTTAAGTTTGAATGATTGTAAGAGAGATTGATTGATTGAAGTACATTTCTACAGACATTATCAACTGATTCTAGGATGGTGAAAACTGAAACGCAACATAACTTTTCTGTTTACCATGCCTCCACGTGCTAGTCACTTCCTAGCCACATTTCCGTGAATAATTTACCCTATCTCGCTGAAGTCTCGCTAAGTCTCGCTAGAGCCACTGCCAGAACTACTCTGAACTCATCGGGTTTTATAATTTGCAGAACACCGAAAAATAAAAGGTTCCGAACACATTAGTAGAGGTGAAGATATATCGACGACGTCTTTTGGCAATATTCATTTTCATTCCTACATTCACTCTATCTATACCCGTTGAACTCGATTTAACAGATAAACCAAAGGCTGGTACATATATATTATTATAACAGTAACTTGATCCGAAAGGTCGTATCACGTCGAGTTGACAGGCGCGGGTCATCAGATAAAACGAGACGCGAAGCGTCGAGTTTGATCTGATGTTCCGCGCCTGTCAACGAGACGTGATACGGCTCTTCGGATCAAGTTACTGTTATAATGATAAATTTATTATATACCCCCTTATAACTAGCTAAATATAGCAGAATAAAAATTTAGAGATCAATTGTATAATATTTATCCATAAAACAAAGCATAATAACAAGGGACTTTTTAACGCGCAAGAAAAATAACGTCATGTTTTTGCGTACTTCGTCATCAGTTTCAGAGAGTGGTGATATGGATTCAGAAAACCACAGTGTGGTGATCCGGAAAATCGGATCAAACTCTGTAAAATTAACAGTAACAAAAACAAGGAAATTGATGGGTATATAATAAATTTGGTTCCTATTTGGGTATTTGACTAGAAATAGACCGAGGACATGGTCCACAGTTGATACTGACAGGAAAAAGATCATTTTCAAAGCCCTTATGTGCCGAGTATAGGTCTAAATTCGTTGACCTTCATCTGCGAGTGACTCAAAATGTGTAAAAAGCGTTAAACAAACAATAAAAAACTCATACATATATCTTACCAGATCTGCACACTGCTGTACTTATACGCAACGATGGTTCTCGATAATATAACATAATAATGATGAAAAAGAAAGAAATTGTAATAAAACTTTGATAAAACATAGCCCAAAAGCCTTACGTGTATTAACCAAAATAAATTTAAAATAGAAACTATTTTTTATCATTTTATTTCAAATTCTAACTTTGATTAAATATTATTCTTTGATTTTAATTTCAGTTCAGTTTATTTTCTCCTGTGGTTCTCGTTCCATGACGCCAACCGTTTCAGTTGAGTAGGTTCAAAGTTCATATATAAAAATATAAAGCTTAGCTAACATATATTTAGACCCTATTACTCTACATACATTCACACAAATAAGCTGTTTCTGATTGTCATTTTTATCTACACAGATTAAATGAAGTAAAGTGGTGTCTTAGAGATGCACTTGTAATTCAAAATGAATTGACTGAACAACGCTGCCCTTACGACAAGATTCAAAAAGGTTTCAATGGCTTTCTTATAAATTATTTAGGACATTCGAAATCCTTTAATTTTATAAACATTATAAAGGATGATTTTATTTTCTTTGTATTTGACATTATTGATTTCCTTTTGATGACGGGAACGTAATGATTCGGTTAAAAAAATACCGGGTTAAGATAGGAAAATGTGCTTTTCTGGAGTAACATTTAAAAAAGGATATAATTCCAAGTCCGATAAACCAATGTTTGATTTGAGGTGAAATTGTTCTTTCTTTTTTTTTTTCACTTATTGATAGAAAATTAAATTACACAGAATGAATTTTATAGCTATTCAATTTATACGGTATAAATTTGTTGGAACAGTTTACGCTTTTTATCTTCATAAAATTCAGCTGTACGAAGTGGTTTATAAAATATCTAAACTGTTCCATCCAAGGTATAACCTCCTGGGTAGCTATTAAATTAATTCCTTAAAAATTTTAATTCTGACTGTAGCGCACTTTTTGAATGCCTGTAAAATTAGTTAATATTGTATAACGTATGTTTCCTACGTCCCAATGACTGTCTAACTCAAAAGCGTATCAATCTGCCTGACGAAATATTTAAATTTTGTACAATTTAAAGTTATATTTGAGGAGAAATTGTCTTTTTTTCTACACTAAATTTAATGAATGAATTCAATAATACCCTAAGCTTCATACGGTTGGAACAGTTTGCATATTTTATAATCCATGTTTATGAAGCGTAACTTCCCAACCCAGATTATTCTATGGGCGGCGGAAAGGGTAAAAAAGACGTTAATGCAAAACTAACAACTAATTAAAAAAAAATACTTTAATACAAAACCAACAGACTCGTTTGCTGAAGCAGCAGAATTAGATGCAAAACCAACGATCATCGATGTTAAACCAACAGTCATTCACTGAATTAAATTATTTGGCGTGCAAATTTCGCGCATTTATCTTCCTATGAGTGTACAATATTATAATGTAGCAGAAAAGCTTGAGCACCATCTAACGTTCATTCAGGCGATGTCTGTTTTTGCACGCCATCTAGCGTCAATTCAGTAAATGCCTGCTGGTTTTGCATCGGTGATCGTTGGTTTAACGTCGGAGTCTGTTGATGTTGTAAACGAGTCTGTTGATTTTGTATTTCAGTATGTTTTTAGAATTAGTTGTTAGTTTTGCATTAACGTCATTTTTACCCTTTCCACCGCCCCTATTATTTAGTGTAACGCGGGTAGCTTTTAAACTCAATCCATAAATACATTTTTCTTCTTTTTTGACGCAGGTGTGAACTGCACAATGCACTGCAAAGGAACGTTTATAGCGAACAACTCCCTGTATGATGAAGAGAAAATCTGTGTGAACTTCACACTTAATTTACCTATGCTTACAAATCTTCATGAGAATACACCTCCAACTTTCCATAAAAAATATTGTAATATATCAAAGTGCATATATGACTGGTTCTCTGTAACATGTGCTTTTCCGAAACAAACAGGTAAGATACATTTTTCCTATTACATTTTTTTCTTTTATAACGATTTCTTCGCGTTAGCAACTTGTTTATAACAATAAATCTACTACATTATGAAAAGTATTGTAATAAACTTATCCAACCAACATGTCTTTAAAATAAAAAAAAACTAAAACTTTAGATAGCTAGGTACTAGATCACTGATTCAATAAAAAAAATATAACATTAAACCATCATTTACAATCATTAATAATTTTTCTTGTACTCTTGCTTGCGTCAGGAAAGTATTTCGCTCATTTCTAGAAGTTATACAACCTAATCGTGGTATATTCTCAGTTTTTCAAAGCCTCATCAATTTCAAATGTATTTTATAACAATGATTTAACGTAATTTGGTCAACTAAGAGCCTTGTGTTATGAAAAAGGAATGCAACAACACGTACTAATTGTCTCCAGTAATGGTAAGTATTCTTGCTCATAGTATAAAGCATGAAATATATGGTGATAACGAACGGTATTCTAGCTCAAACCTCCATTTAACAATACAAAATTGGAGCATGGCAAAAAATCACTCCAAAAACTTACAACTATCGGAGGTGGGATCAGGTGCAAAAGATCAAGGAGTGAACATTCCCGCCATGTGCTCCATGTCATGATCGGCAAACAACAGGAAAATTCGTCGTCAGTGCAGTGTGTAGATTATGGTTAATATTGGACTATTGCGAAGAGCGCTGACTTTTACAATCAACAGCTTACTTTTACACTTGTGCAATATACGGAAGCTCTTTTGCAATACCATGTTTAGCCCAACATTTAATTAAATTAAAATATGGACTGAAATAAAGCAGATATAAGTTGCTCACCAAGATTCCGACAACTACCCTATCCTCAAATACCGCCCTTCACATGTTTGTTCCCTAACACCATAACTATGACCACTAGAAGGGTTTTCTCATCTATAGTCAATTCTGTACCTCGATAAATATGACACATTCGAAGTAAACCGTCAATTGTAAAAGTCAGCGCTCTTCCCAAAAGCCCAATTAATGATAGTCTAAGAATAAGTATGAAAATTACTGCAAAAAAAGAGAAGTTAACGATTGAAATGTACATCATGAAGCTTGATATCGGTCTTGTAGAGTAGGGTTTCCTCCCTAAAATCTTTTCCCCCGGCAAACTGGCTCTAAAGTAGAATTTCCCCCCGAAACAGTGGCTCTAGAGTAGGATTTCCCCCAGGAAAATGGCTCTAGAATAGGATTTCACCTACAGAAATACCACTTTAGAGTCAATTTTCCAGCGGGGGGGCTGGGGTGGGTCCTACTCTGGGTAGTAGTTGTAGAGTACCATTTACCCCAGAGCCACCCCCCCCCCCCCAATAAAATATAATTGCTCTACTTATTTTTTTAGGAGGAATGGTTGGCACATTGCTACAGGTGTCCCATCATCAAAATGGTGACCAGATGTATTTAAAATACGTATACGAAAAATGAACATGAAAATTTTCAATCCGATTTTTCATGGCTATACCGTCAGGCCATTTTTTTTAAAAATCAAATAAATTGATGAAACTGGAGAAAAGTTCAAATATGCAACTTTATAGTTCAACATGTTCCTTAAAAAATTATAAAAGGTATGAATTTTTCTTGCTTCAAAGTTTCTGGGAAAATTTTCAAGAATGTATTTTAATATTATACACAATCCAGACATCCATTTTTTTTTTATTTATTTATTTTTTTATTTTTATGTTTCATCATATTTTGAGAATATTTACATTTCTTTTGAAAGTTATATATTTTGGTTGAGATTCCATGATTTGAAATATATGCTAAGAAAATTCTTACAAAATAAGTTGAAAAAAAACACTCATTTACCTTTTTAAAATTAGTTTGCCATTGACCTTTATTGCAAATATGTTGCGGCTATGGTTTATATTGATTATAACGATGGGGAAAATCCTACTCAGATAAAGGAAGAAGGGGAAATTTGGCTCTGGGTGTGAGATTTCCCAAGGGGAAAACCTACTCAAGAGTACGATTTCCGGGGGGGGGGGGGCTGGCTATGGGGGAAATCCTACTCTACAACACCGGTATACGTAGTAAGATCATCATTTATGTCTTTTTCAAGTAAATTATCTAAATATGAAACAGGTATAATCTATACGTATGATGATTTAAAAATGACAATCTTGAAAATATCTTGATGTACACTTAAGGTTATCCGATCCTCAGGTTCTGAAAATCAGGCATTGAGTAATTGAAAATGCTCACAAAGATGTCTCTAAATTCTGAAATTAAAATGTATTTACCCACGGTGTTTCTTTAAAATTCATCTTTAAATTTAATCATATTGTATAGGGAAAATTAGTAAATCTCGAATAATTTTTCAGGAAATGCGATTTGAACTACCTACTGCATATTTTTCAATTGATAATTGATCAATAAATACATTTTAGGAATAAAAATCATAGGTATCCAGGCTTTTAAGGAAGATTGCATGAATTAACCCTTATTTGGACTTTACTTTCTCCTACTTACTTCCATTGTTTCATAATACATAGTGTATGAAGTGTTTCCTTTCAAAGAATACACTGTAAATCACTTCTAATTTCAAATCATGCACATAAACATTGGTAACTAAGGCTAGATTAAAAGAAATTTGATTTTTTTTAAAATATGCAAGTTTTACTTTATTTTATGAGGTAGAAATGTCAACTTTTTAAATACCGTTTGTCAAAACTTTAAAGAACATTGAATCATACGTGGAGGCATAAAATGAAAATTGTTGCATGAAAAAATTTCACTTTCAAGCTTTATTTTAAGACTTTTTGAATTAAATTATAAATTAAACAGTTATCCTTCCTGGCTGAGGATCGTATATCCTTAATGTTTAATGGAATTAAAGTATAGTCTTTAATCATTGCATTAGCAATATTAGACATATCACCTGTGCAGTTTTCTTGATCAGTGGCTGTTCCATCGGTGAAATGTGAAACTATAACATACATATCAATAAAACAATAATTATCCTTTTTTGAAACTATAACATACATATCAAAAAAACAATAATCAACATTTTTAATCCAAATTTAAATATTTTTTACACAGATAAAAATATAAACAATGTAGTGTCTTTCTTTGGTTCTTAGAATGGAAATAAATGCCGCAGCTATTGCAGAAAAAAATTCTGCAACAGCTGAGACATTAATTACCGTACTAACCAAAGAAAGCATTTCATTTTTTTAAACAACGCACATGGGACAATATATGCATATTACTTGCAGAGGGTTCAATAAGCCGATATAATTACAATAACCCGTTTATTTAATAACTGCTGAAAATAGAAAAGTACATTAAAAATCATCTGCATTTTTTAACTGCATTATAAAATATCTATATGTTCTTTTTTCAGATATTGGAAGTGAAATTGGTAGTGCAGACATAAATATGAACAGTGAAATACAGGAATATGAACAAAAGTGTATGCATTTTATTTATGAATTTAAAATGTTTTACCAAGGAGTTAATTTAAATATTTTCAAATTTATTTATAATTACAATATTCTATTCATTTATCTATTTAATGATTTTATTTTAACCATTTTGGGTAATATGGGATTGTATATGTATGCATATGTTTGTGTGATTTCATGCTTGTGAATAATTAAAGCTTTATCATGAAAACAATATACTATTTTCAGACTTATTAGTGGCTTTTGCTTGTGTGGTAGCGGGTTGTATGATTGGAGTATTGTTAACATTGACTGGTCGTCGCTGGTAAGTTAAATTCTTGTAAGCAATAAAGAGATTTACATTGTATTATTGTTCTGTTATAAATCACACTAATCAAGATAAGATGTAATTATATAATATTTTAAACATTTGTTAATTACTAACGAATTAATCATATATGTTGGACAAATGTAAATATTAAGTGTCCAATAAAGTCTTTTTATGTGTACTTAGCACCAATCATAGACGAACATCACCATCATCTGCCGATCAAGACCAGACAATCCAGAGAACCGGAGATTCAATAGATAACCTTTATATGTACTGCGATATAGAAGATACTGCAAGGGTACCTTTATATATAATTTTAAATTATTTGATGCCCTCGTATCAGAAAAATTATAGATTTTATGAATAAAAGACTTCGTCGAATAGCTGTTCAATGAAGTTGCGGATAAATCGAAATGTTTATTTTATTTCTATATAAATTCAACTGTGACTGATATGAGCATTTATTTTCATTTCAAACAGATATCAGAAAAAGGAGTTCAAGTACCATCACTTAAAGACAAGAGTCCATCAAGTATGCGATCAGGTACCTCCAATGTTTATCGTCTTCTGAATGAAAAAGAGAGTCCTATTGATTCCCTGACATCCACTGTAGGAACAACGTCACGTGGAGGAAGTACATCAGAAGATAATTGTCATAACACAAGTTTGAGAGAAAAGAACTCGGCAGCTAAAACGAGCACTGTGGAACAGGCATTTGAAACAGGAAATGAAAATAGAAATTATTTTCAACTTGAAATGAAACCAGAAGATAGTCTAGATATTTGAGAGGTCTATTGGGTTTTAATTTTTTTTTAATATTGCAGAAATGTTTTGCCTTATTTACAATGCCCTGTATTTTTGTATCCTTGCAAGGCGTTATTTTGTATTTTTTAAAATTCTCTAATTATACTTTTATAGTAACGACCTTCTAAACATGTATTAGTTGAGTCATTGTTTGTTTGTATTGCTTATATGATGAGGTGGCATGTACGTTGATATTAAACATAATAAAATACATTTATTTTGATGTCAAACATTATCAAGAGATTTCAAAGAGAGAATATTTAGGATAGAAAAGGATAAAAAATATGATTGACTGATTGGACATAAAGAAGATGTTTGAGTTTCTGATTGACAATATCTATGTTCCAACGATGTGTTGGAATTCCCATGAGGTACCAATTGCGCACCGTTGTTAGCAGATTTATTTTTGTAGTCATATGAAGCAGAATTTGTACAGAATCTTTGTATGAAAAGAAAAAACATTTGATGTTGCCTTCAACTCGACATTTAGATATAACGACGACGTATTGTCAATTAACAGTGGTAATTTCTATTCCAATGTCGATACGATATATCCAGGTGAGCTTGAGATAAAAGATACCACGGAGTCCGACACATCTGTTTTCATATTTGAATATTTTATTCGAAAAAGAATTTAATGTGTATTTAAAAGCTCTATGATGAACGTGATGACTTTTCTATCGTCAGCTTCCCCTTACTTATACAGCAATATACCTTCATCACCTGGATACTGGGTTTATATATCTCAGTTGATTCGATATGCAAGAGCATTCTCTACGTATGAACAATTTTGAAAGAGAGATAAATAATTGACAAACGAGTTGATGAAACAAGAATATCAACAGTCTCATTTAAAGTCATCATTTAGTACAGTCTCGTTTCAAGTCATTCAATTTTATTGTCGATACAATGACCTTGTCACCAAATACATGTACATTACCGGCTCGTTTTTCGTAGTCAAATGCTGACTGACATTTTTCATACAAATTGTTAGTCCATTATTTATGCTGCTCTGCTGCTATTTTGATCTAGAATACTGTTCGTATCTCTGTATGTTTCATTGTTTCTTTGTTTATCACTTCAGCAAAATGATATTAGCAACTAGTCTAGTCTGTACTTGCATGATAAAATTCTGCTTGAAGGAGAAAGTAACACATTTTCTTTTCTGCTTTATGAGTCTGAATATTAATTTTGCAAGCAAGACATGTGTTATCATTTATATAATGTACATGTATATGAAGCTTAATCTCCCAATTTTAAAGAATGTATTTAGATCCACCTTTACTTATTGGTCTAGATTTTCATTGGATTTCATTCAAAAATTTACGCTTAATTTAAATACCATATGAAAAAAATTTATTATCTTTTTAAGCATTCAATGAATTATTCTTTCGTTTTACCGGAAACATAATATTGACGTAAAACACCTTTTTTTAAATTATTATAATGTTGAATTTTTGGCCGTCTTTAGACGTTATGGCTTACAAACGACTTGAGTGAAGGTGACAAGACATTATGCTTTGAAATTTGATTGTATGTTTTTTCCTGCTTCAGAACATGAATATATACTTTAACAACATAGTTTAATCATAGGAATAGAGATCGACCATTGCAAAAACAAAATATGAGGTGAGGTCAGGTGTCATGGAGGAGTGAGCAACCCTTGTCGCTCGCACCCGTTGTGTGTTCCTTGTCATAATTTATATGTAAACATCAGTCAGAATTTGACCCTGATATGGTTATTGTATCGACCTCAAAATTTGAGAAATGATTACTTCAATTGAGACTTTAAATTATCCTTGTTGCATCGATTTTTTATTGAAAGTTTACTTTTTAAAAAAATTAATCGTACGTATAAACTTGCTCTTGCGTAAGAAATCAACTGAGAGACATAGACCCCGTATCCAGATAATAAAAATATGTTGCTACATAAGTAATGGAATGTGATGTCACCAAGTCTATCATAAAGTTTTGTTGTTTAATTTCCATTTATATTTTTAAAAATGGTCTTTTATCATTTAGTAACAAAGTCGCATTTGGTAAAGCAACATTTTACTCTCTTTTGTTCCTTTTGACACAATTGATGATTACAGTCAAGTCATTTCAAAGTATTTTCACGGTAATACCAGGTATTTGTTCGTTTAGTGTAATTGAGAAATTTATATCAAGACCTTTAGATATGAAATATTTATAAATTATTTTGGTACATTTTCCTCATGAGCATGAATTATCAAAATTAGTTATTATAAATTAGTTTCAAGGTTTTAAATAATTTTAGTTTCTAGGTGTTCTACATGCGATCTGAACTCAGAAATAACTGGCTATTTACATTATTATTTCTGACACAGTTTAATAACTCATTTCACATAAAATTGAGTGTAAATATAGAATATATCATGTGAGATTTTAGGTAAAAATAATTAATTCGAAGGATTATATTAAACAAATAGGAAGGAACTGTTTGAGTATTGCTTGATCAAAGTTTAATTGCATGCTTGTTTTGCAATTATCTCTCTGTATCTTTGATAACTCAATATAAAAACATTAAGATTTAATGCAGTAGTGTCAATTATACGTATATGATTTAAATCAATAGAAATTCCAATCACAATACTACTGTATACCAAACAATGTCATGCCATGATCACAAATTTAATGTTGAAAACTGTAACAGAAAAATGCACTCATTACTTTTTAATTTGTTTAATCATGTTTAAAAACTTCTTAACCAATAATTTATGAGAACAACGACATTTAGATATATCGACGACGCATTGTCAATTAATGATGGTAATTTCCATTCCTATGCCGATACGATATATCCTGGTGAGCTAGTCCGAAAAATCTGACGTTTTCCAGGCTTTTTACGATTTTGATATTTTGCATGCAAGGAAAACGCCAGATTAGCATTTTGAAGATGTTATCAAAGGAAAATTTTCCACCAAAGGAATTTACAAGATTTTGATTATTGTCCAATTAATATCACCTTAAATTTTACATTGAAGTCTATAAGCAGCGCATGTTTTTGAAAAAAATATTGTAAAAAGTAATTTGAATTTCAAACAAATCTCTTGGTAAAAATATGCATAAACCCCCTCTTTATTAAAATATGAAATAAAAAATATTATTTACCGCAGAAATTTTATGAAATCAAAATTTTTCTTCTTTTCATCAAGAGCAGATAACTCTTCAAAAACTTTTGATGTGTAAAGTGACCTTCTTCTTACATATCAGTCTTGTGAATTTGGTTCATTTCACTTTTATCGTTTTCTAACAATGTGAACTTCACTCGCAATTTATATTTATCTCTTGCAAAGTGCAGTTCTAAATATCCAAATCGTGAAATAAAGGACAAATTTTTATCACCCTTCTAGAAAACTTTTCGTTATCTCCATATGTTTCACCTTAAGTTGACGGTCCTAACTAAAAACACAATTTTTTGAAATTTTAAAGTTTATTTTTAAAAATTATGTACATTTGTAATAGGACATTCAATTGATATGAACAACGTTACTGGTTCCTGTACATGCATCGGAAAACAAATGATAAAGGATCATTCTCTGTCTCTTTATTGTGAAGCAAAGATTATGGTAGTCATTGAAATAATATGTTTCAGCAGGTCTTAATTACAATTGTAAATTCCATCAGTGATAGATAAGTCTCAGTAATTAGGAGACAAATTATGTGCATAGTTAAGTGTTTCTGTATAGATACCTTGTTGTAAAGAATTCTCTTATGTTATCAATGACATGTTGATTATTTACTGCTAACATATTTACAATGAAAACTATAGAATCTACTTGCCTTATTGCTTTATCGATCTGGTAAACGTAAAAAAAATGCCAGTTCTACCGAAAGATAAGTTGATGCTCACAGGCTTCCGAAAGAAAGACCCTTTTAAAAATCAAACGTATAAACTTTACGGCTATAATTATTGAGTCAGCAAATACTTTGGGAAATCTAGCTTTTGTCCGATTTTGACGAACAATTAGCACCAAAATAGCATAAAATTTATTTAGCATCAAAATAAAGGTTAGCAATAGCTAGATCAAGATTTTTTTCATATTTCATACTTGTTTCAGATTTTCTCCTTAATACAATTCATAACTTCGACTTTAAAGACCACAAATTTTCATATCTAACTTGGTAACGCAATATGATAATTTATTTATTTAAACTCTCAATAGAAAATTAATATAAATATTCAAATGATTTTGCTGGGTATTGAACCGTCAGAACTATTTAGATTTTTATCGAAGTAAAAATGAATACATGTACATTACTTTAATGAATAGGATAAAAGTCTTAGTTTTAATCCATCTACTGAAATTTGATTTCTATTTTTCCTAAAAATAGTTTAGTTGAACTAATTATTTATGTTGAAATTTGTCGATATTTTTTTTCTCATAACATACTATAAAACCTGACACAACAGGAAGTGTTTTACAGAAAAATAAAAAAAAATCTAATTATTATGTACATAGATACCTAAGATCACTGGTTCTAACAGGTTCGAGGATAATGTAATTCTATCTGAAAGTGTATTCCAACTAAGCAGTAGTAAAATGGGAATCAAAAAGCAATATGTAGGTGGGTATTTATCTGCGAGGTAATTAATTTTAGTTTCTTGCCTTCCAGTCAAAAGAAATGGGGTCGCAAAAGGTGATTTTAATCAAACTTTTGTTGATCCTACTCAAACATGAATACCTAAATCGGAGAATGCTTTTTTGATAATTAAATTTGTTTTCTAGTTAAATTGTCCATCACATGTCAAAAGCACTTTCAGTTAGAAAGTCATGTATCTGTATTTCTAGGTATTATTTTTGGCATCGCAATGAATTGCTTTTTGGAAGGATACTCGGATCAGTTCGAAAGGTATGTTTAAAATGCATTTGATTTTATTTTTCTTACGCTGAAAATGTTTGGAATTTTGGAAAACATGTGAAAATACTCTTTTCCTCTTTATTTTTCAGTAAATTATGTTTAGAACAAGCTTTGGAAATCTATGTCCAATTGCAAGAATCTCAGTGCCCTGACAATTTCCTAGTCCCAAGGCAAGGTCTGATTAGTATATTGACTGTGTAAATAAACCCTTCTTTGGACAAAACTTGTTGAAATTGTTATTATTACTTCTAAATTGCAAAATAAAAAAAAAAATCATGTCCCTTTTTCAATTTATCAATACATGTAGGCAAATTTTATCGTTAATTTAAGAGACCTGTTTTGGATTGTGTTTCATTTATTCTTATTTCATTATTATTAGATATTGACAATTTATCTGGACGATTTCCAAATGTGGAAGTCAAGAACGATAAAAGTGTTATAAATATACATCATGTATACGTAATTATTTTCTGTCCAATCAGACACCATTTTTACACACTCTAAAACGCATTTAAAAGAACAAAAAGATAGCATGTGCTTTTGTTTTTTTTTTCTCAAAAAGATTTTTTCAACAAAAAAAAGTTAAGAGATTGGATGAAATCTTTTCAAGAATACGATATTCCCCACTTTTTACCGTGAACAACCTTGACATTTTTATTTCAGTAGAGAAAAGAAATAATGCATGATACAATGTAATCGTTTACGGAGGAATAAATCACACCAGCAAGTTTCTGTCATTTTCAATTATACCATTTACTAATATATACTATGTATTGGTATATATAATTTTGCTTAGCCGTCCGATTTTCATTGATGATGTTTAAATTCCACTCACACAAGTGTTTATCGTACGGACTATGAAGTGGTGTAAATCCTATGCGGATACTTAATAATTTCAGGAAACTTTTAGAAAATCTAAAGTCTTTTTATTTTTACAAAAACCAAAGGCATTTAAACTTTTCAACTTCATACACAACTATTCCCCACAAAAAGTCCAGGCTTAATGATATCATTGACAATTAAAATGGCACTCGCGAATTTACTTAGCCTGTCATTGCCTATTTGCAAAATCATTTTGTAAGAAAAAACATTCTCATTGTACACAAAAGTGCTGTGAAGTTTACATCAAAAGGATGATTGAGTTCCTGTTTGACAATATCTTAGTGGTTTTTGAAAACCAGGTTTTCAAATAGTCTATTCAAATTCCCATTGGTACCAATTTTGCCAAGATCTATTTTGTATTCATGTGAAGCAGAATGTGTCCAAGATCTTATATGTGAAAAGAAGAAAACAATTGTTGTGGCCTTCAACTCGACATTAAGGTATATCGATGACGTATTGTCAATTAACAATGGTTGTTCCCATTCTTAGATCGATACGATATATCTAGGAGAGCTTGAAATAAAAGATACCACAGAGTCTGACAGATCTGTTTCATATTCATATATTTTATTTGAAAAGACGCTAATGATAATCTAACAACGAAGCTTTATGAAAAACGAGCTGACTTTAACTTATCAATTGATATCCTTGTTTCTGCAACATGTTTATAATTCACTACTCTCGTTTACAAAATGTTCATACGTAGAGCATGCTCTTGCGTATCAAAACAACTGGGAGATGTAAACCCGTTATGTAGATGATGAAGTTTATTGCTGCATAAATTAGAAAAGTTGACAGCAGTCTCGTTTAAGGTCATCGTGTCGTTTCAGGTTCAAATGTAAATGTGGGTCAAACTCCAAGGACAAGGTCAAAAGGTCAAAATTGCTCGATAAAATTACCTTGTATAATTTATCAAATGCTGACTAGTGGTTTCCAAATCATGAAAAGGGGCACACGGCGGGTGTGACCAATCAACTTGGGATGCTAAGTCCTCCTTGAAACCTGATCTCACCTCTGATGTTTCGGAGGTCCGTGTTTGATCTGCTCCTATTTTATAAATATTGTTTTATGGACTTTGATATTGAATATTTTTTGTTAACTCCAAATTGTCGCATATCTGCGGTGATTTTCTTTGATCTTTCTCTGGTGACATATACCATATCACATATATGCGATAATACTTTCCACTTCCCTTCATATATCACTGCAGTATGTAGAAATCATGTCAACGTTTTTTATTGAATTTTGACACTCTCAATGAAATTTACGTCATCAGACATGCGACAAGTTGCTTACATCATAGATTGCCTCGTTATATTGGTTATGTCGTTTTCATGGAGAGTGGAAATCTCGGGCGCTCCGCGCCCTCAATTTCCACGCCCAATGAAAACGATATGAACAATACTACTCGGCGTCTATGATTTAACCTATACATATTCCATTATATCACTTGTTGCCAAAAATATTTTTAGCTTTTTTATGCTTAAAAATTGTAGAATTCACATTATTTACTTCTTTTAAAAATTTCAGAATCATGTCTTTTTGGAACTATTTATCAACTATAATATTAATATGTATCGATGCAGAATAATGGTAGTGTAAAGGATTTTATGCATGGACTAACAGCGCCCAAGTCTTTATATCAAATAATTGTAAACGTTTTCTTTCTGTATTCATAGATATTGAAAATTGCTCGATTTTATGCAAAGGAAGATACTTCCTTTTGAACATGTCATCATCTGAGGTTCAGCATTGCGTTAGGTATACAATATTTTTCAAAATCAGCGAAACACAAAATTCGGCGAATCTGGTACAACATCCATGCGGCATTTCAAATTGTTTAAGCAAAGATTTATCCTTTGAGTGCCTCGTCCCAATAAAAAGACAAAATCAAACAAAAGAGAAGAACGTCCGAGATGTCTGTTTTGGTAAGTACATTTAGGCCCATATTACAGATTGTTACATGTATATACATAAAACTGGACTGAAATAGGCTAAATATGCTGTTCTGGCTAAGTGCATTTGATCTAAAGATAAATGGGACACATCTTTTAATTTAAACAACTAAATTGTCTTTATTCTGTCTCGTTTAAGCTAATCAAAAACTTCTTTATGTTATTAGGACTTGATACTGTAATTCCACTGACGTTCAGCATCAGTATTGCTTGTTGCCTTCTCGGAATTTGCATTTTTCGTTTAATCAATCACAAAAGGAATTCCATAAAACCGTATGTAGTTTATTCTTGATTATAATCTGTTATAATTCTATGAATAATAACGTACGATTCCAGAAAATTTACCCGCAAGTTTAATTACAAAAATACTTTACTTTATGATTATTTATTTTTTCAATGTTTTTAAACCCCGTCTTGATTAGTAAGAACAGAAATAGTTGCAGAAATGTAAGCAGCAACCATTATAATGAAAATTCATAAATGTAATGTTTTGATGATCATTCTCGTCATTGACAATTATATCCTGATTAATGATTAATAGGCAGGTTTTGCTTGAAATGAATTTAATTATATTGAAAACGTTTTTAATCTCCATAGATTTGATTCGCCGCTTCCACCATCATCAGTGATCTATGAGCCCGGATCCTTAGAAGTACAGTACGTAAATGTATCTGAGGCGAGGAATCATGTGAACGTGATTGACCAAACGTCCACTAAATCAGATCAGATAAGAAAGAGCCATATCCGAGTAAATTTCTGAGATATTTAAAGCAATATGAGCTGCTTGTTTGACATTGGGAAAAAAAATTCAAATTTGTACTAAACTACTTCAATGACAGGAAAATAGAACGATTAGTAACTTCTGTTGTTCATATTTGCTATGGAAGAACTTTTTATGAGCTTTAATTGAAGCAAAATTGAATTATTGTCGTCCTGTACAATAATGATTTCTTCATAATACTCTATAATCGATCGTACAGAAATATTTCTTCTTAAAAATTTTAAAACTTTATTTTGGTCTTCTTGATCATAAGGGTTTAAATTACGTACAAATTAATCATAATAACACACTTTACCACCAAAATAAAATTCTAAAAAACGCAGCTCATATTGCTTTAAATTACCAACTTTAAACATAATTTATTTAAGCATTGTATTATTTTCTCACCAGAGTCACTAAAAATTAGGGAATATTGTCTAACACTGCCGTGGCAAAATGGGCTTTAGATAAATTAATATTTAACTACACATAAAACGAAGAAAAGAAAAGGATAGAAAAGTGAATAAAATACCTGTAATTTTAAAGTACAATGTAATTTGAGTTAGGTTTTCCGCTCACTTTGAGTTTAGTGGATAAAAAAATGCAATCGATGTTTAAAAAATGTAAGAATCCTATCTTAAGAATTAAGATTAAGTATGATTTAAGCTTTCCACAATTAACATGTAGAATCAATTGAAAAGCAAAGTCAGTTTGTAAGGACCAAATTATCGATACTAGCAATTGATTCATTGCATGAAATGAGTTTCTGGAATCTTTTTCTCGCATTAGATGCTGGATAAGGCTGTTCAAAGTCCTTCTCACCAAGAGGACGGTACATCACGCTCCAGAGAAAACATTGCCCCGCATCATCAATTGAGTGGACTGGAAGGAAAGGAAGAAAGTGTTCTTTTCTCTAGCGATTTTATACCTGATGATTAAAACACTTTAAAATCAGACAATAGTCTTTCATTAAAGATGTCTTGTCTGAAAGTATTAAAATGGTGATTATAATATATTATAGTAACACGTAGTGAGAAAACATATGGATATAATGAACAGATTTCATGATCAAATGTCCATAACACAATACGAAATAAAAAATTAAGGTAGGATTCTCTTCATAAAAACATGTATTTCTTGTATTTAAAATTTCATAAAATATTCACAGAATCAAGAAGACAATATCAATAAGTGACGGTATCAGTTAGATTAGTTTTGATCGTTTTATATCATTGGCAAGGTCACTTAACCTTTTCCCTGGACATTATATCAAATTCAATTTTTTTCCCGAGAAAGTAGGAAAAACTAAATAAATTGATTATATAAATTTCATACAAAATAAAAATAAAGACTAAAAGCCACTTCAAGTGCTCTCTATTATTTTCTCTATTTTCATTTGCTCTATTCTTGTTAATAAGGATAACATTTCAATCTAGCTATAGCACTAACCTAACATTAATTACAAAGTTCAACTTTGTATTTTAAAAACAATCATGTGGGCGATCTAACCTATGTATCTCTGTACTTAAGTTTGTTAGATCGACTATCCAGTTCTAATTATCTATTTCCTATTAGATTTATGTGACAGGTCACCTGTCCTATTGTCACATACTTGTTGACCAAAATATCCAAAACTGGAAAAGTAATAAAATGTTTATAATTTATCCAAGGATGT